CATTAATTTGGATGGAGGAAGCTTCAGTTTTAAATTTTGAGGCAAAAAAGCTTTCCTTTTGTGTGTGAAAAAATCTCAAAATGAGAGGAAAAAAAGAAAGCATTTTTTCTTTGACGAGAAAAGTTTTTTTGCATTTTTCTAAGACGAAAAACATTCAAATACAGATTTCGTTGGGACTAAAAAGAAACACTTGGAATTTTTTTGAGTTGAAAAAGTTTCACTTTAATTTTTTTAGGGCGAATAATCTCCACTTTTAGTCTGGTTATGGGAAAACCCATGTTAATTTCAAAACGTAAAGAAAAAAAGTTACTTTGATTTTATAACGTCGAAAATAATTCATTAAAATATTTTTAGGTTTGATTTTACAAAGTCGTAAATAATTCATTTAAACCTTTTTAGCTCGAAAAAGGTTTCACATTTATTTTTCTAAGTCGAAACATTTCACTTATTTTTTTTACGAAAAAACTTCATTGACCTTTCTCAAAGATGAAAAAAATTATTTCAATACCTTTTAAGACTAAAAAAGACTTTTTAATTCAAAGTCGTTTCACTTTACATGTTTTCTAAGATAGAAAATTCTTATTTATGTTTTTTCTGAGATGAAAATTTTTCCCTTACATCTTTTTCAAAGATGAAAACTTTCATTTTAGACTTTTAAGATTAAAAAAAAAAAATACATTTAAAAAATGTACTTTAAATAATTCAGACTAAAATTTTTTCCTTTAGGAAATTTATTAGCTTTGTGAAACTCAAATAAAAAGTATATGTGAAATATTTCATTGTTTAAATATCATTCCTAAATTATAAATCTTTTTTTACAAATGAATACAAAGCATCCATTTTACATAAATGATAGTACATGCAGTTTGCATGTAAATAAAAAATACGATATACTTCGTGGCCCACCAGCGGCCGAGCGGTAAAGTAGCTGAACACTGGTAGTTCGGTGCGAGGTTCGAATCCCGCGAACGGGCTGGCTGCATTGGGCGTTTTCGTGGTTTTCCCCATGAAACGTGAATACGAGCCAGTTTCCCTTAGAAAGTTCTCCACGAAGGCATCCCTTCCCTTAGGCAGATAGCCCTAGTGTGCTTTGCCATAATTAAATAAACCAAACCAAATGATATGCTTCAAATATACCAGAAATTAAACTTTATAATGGAATATTTTTCCATTAAGTAATTCAACGGGGAAGTTACTTAAACATTCTCCATATGAATCAAGTCTTTGTGTTGGTAAACAAGTATCCAGTACATGTTGATACGGACTTGCGTTAAAAAATGTTTTTCATTCTATTACTAAGTCGAGGTACTCGAAAGATAATAGTAGTACTTTAAGGTATATTTTACTGGAAATCGAATTAATTTTTTTTCCTTATAATTTCATTTTCATGACATGAAGAAAAAAGTTGCTTTTCTTTTTTTTTTTTCTTTCATAACGTACATTATTTTCAGAGGCACGCACTGAATGGTTTAAATGATAGACTTAAAACAAAATTCTAAAACATTCAATTCTCTTTTTCGCCAACAGAGGGCAGGATGAGCATATCTTCTGAATTAAGATGTTACAAAAATCCTCTTGATATGTTACCAATTTAAAAAAAAACTAAATTCAAATGTGAAACTAAATGCAGCAAGTCTAATCATAAACAATCAACTTAAAACAACTCCCCTACTTTCGTGACGTCATGGATGACGTTGGACGTTGCAGCCTGTCACCCCGTCTGTGTGACGTCGTTGCCACGTTCTCAGCTCCACAGCTCCTCTGTCGCAGAACACTCGATTTTACATCTACTTAACAAACTGTCTTCAATGACTGTAGATTCAATCGGTTCTACCTTTTCTAGCAGCGAAAAAAATCCTCTAACCGTTTGCTTTAGAAGCAAGAATTCAAAAATAAAATTCGCATATTTTAAGTGACAGACGCAGAACATCTATTTAAGCTGAAAAGGAGAACATACTTTTTTTTATTTAATTACTGTATAACTCTGCTTAGCAAATGGTAGTAAAAAATCCATTTTCGTACATACGGCTGAATATTCTCTTCCATGAAGAAAAGTGTATTTTTAAACAATTAGTCAGCAGTTATGAATCTATTTTATTAAAAACAGTGACATTAACATCACTTATAATTTCTTGAGTTTCTTGAGATTTTAAAATTACATTTAAGGCTAGCCCAGTTCTCAAAATTCCTCCTTTCTCTGTATCATTTAAGGTGCAGATTTTTCAAAATATTTTAACCGCAATTATTCTATAAAAGTCAATACAAGCATATTTCAAGACAACTTCAAATTCTAGTCAAATAGAAAAAAATTCCATGTTTATTGTATTAGATATCACCGTCATGTGACATGACTGTTGTATCGAAACTTTGCCTCAAGATGCAGGGGCGAATCATTTCACACATGTTACAAGTTGTGTTGTAGGATTTTAATTGAGTAGAAGTTTAAATCAATGTTTTTCAGACCATACTAAACTGATAAGTGAGTTAGTTATCACTCCATTCTGAATTAATATGAAAAAGGTCTTACGAAAGTTAAAATAATCTCTTCATTAACACTCTAAATTTAACAGAAGTCACCAACTGCGCTTACAAAATGAAACTCAGCCCCTTTTAGGTATTTAATCTAACATAAGCTCAAGTATTGAAGTTTAAATAACATAACCGGAGACAATACAAACTACTTTTTACTAAAACTGATGTACGTAACCTGGCTTATTATTTAGGTGTCACATATTTAACATCGGCTGACAAAATGGCTAAAGCCGAAATAATCTTTGGCAGAAATGGCGATGCAAATGAGGCTGCCGAAAGCTCGAATTCTAAAATATTCAAACAACTACTCAAATACTCTAGCAGCTTATTCTGGTGGGGACAACGGAAATAAAAAGCTACAGTAATGATTCAAATCATAATAATTGGTTAATAAACTTAAACTTTACAGCGTGATCTCCGATCGCATTTTAGAATTTAATGTTAACCTTGAATGTGAAAGCTCTGATGGGGACTTTTCTTACATATTCCATCAACAAAGCCTGAAAGGGAACGACTTTTGAAAATGTCTGGGAAAAGTAAATGAGATATAATCAAGCCTCAGAAGCAAAGGCGAACTGCGAAGGATCCGGAGTTCCGAATCATTAATTAATTAAGAAAAAATAGCAAACATAACCTGTTCCTGCGTCTCAAGATGAGGAGCCCTACATTTCATAAATCCGACACAGCTTGCAAGTAAGTTGAACTCATACCCTTGCTTTGTCATACCCTAGCTCTGGAAGATATAGTGGTTAGCAAAGATGATCTAAAAACTACTGGTGAACATCTTTTAGATCACTTGAAAGTCAGATGGTTATGATCTAAAAAAATCATAACTTGACAACTTATTTTACTTATCTTTCACAAGGTTCGTAACATCAGATGCCTGAGAAGGAAATTTTGAACATGTTTTTACTGATTCACTTCAAGGTGAATGAGTATCAGAATAATGTATTGTAACGTTGATCGAATTTTCAGAGCCCAAATTAAGTAACTCCAAGCTCTTTTACCATTGAAACCGCTTTTTTTCTATTCCTATGTTCTAGGAAGGGGTTTTTCTCACAGGGTTTAAGATCTGAGTTCCTTTTACTATATGTAAGAGAAAGAAATGTTTTGGCTTTCTTATATCATAAGGTATTTCTCCCGCCTTCCTAGTATGCCTTCGTGGTGTGGTGGTCTGCACCCTGGGCGCGCATTCCAGAGGTCCGCGATTCGATTCATGGCGAAGGCGTTGTTCATTTCTCATCTTTCCTGCTTTCAAATTAAAACCTAATGATTCTACAGTGGCGCCCGAAATAAAAGGGTGGTGGATGATGATTTTCCACACTCAGGGTTTGGCGACTGGGTCCCCTAAAAACCCCAGTCGCCCTTTAAAAGGGAGTATATAAGGTATTTCACCAGCCTTCCTAGCATGCCTTTGTGGTGTGGTGGTCTGCACGTTGGGCGCGTATTCCAGAGGTCCGCGATTCGATTCCCGGCGAAGGCGTTGCTCATTTTTCATCTTTCCTGCTTCCAAATTAAAACGTAATGCCTCTACAATATTTTATATTTCATGTTAAATAAATGATCGTTTTTTGTAAAACTGTCCTGACTGGAATTACATCAGTTATATTCTGAATTCTTCAATTAATTTAAAGGTAACTGGACTTCAGGTAACAGATGCATTTTGTTCAGTTAATTCGTCTATTAATTAAGTATTTCCATAACTTTTTCTTTTTATTCACTTAACAGACCACTTTTTTCACAGTTAGATGTATAATATAGACGAGTATTTTTTGATATGGATGCCAAATAGTTGTTAAGCAAAATATGAATTTAAAATGTAATTTAATTTGAATTTTCATGGGTATTCATTTCAATTTATTTATTACTTTTCTCTTTTTCTGATTAGTCAGAATTACCTTACAGTAATTCTTTAGAAATAATCGACTTGCATTAAATCTTACTAAACCAATGATATAGAATGATCTGTTTATTATTTTGGTAAGAATATTAGAACTGTTCGAATAAAATAAGAAATAAACGAGTAATAAATGAAATTAATTTGTTTTCATTACCTTTTCCTTCCTCATTTTATTCGAACAATTCAATGTATACATTTCGAACGATTTCTCGTCTTCCCATTATATGTCTTCACTAGTGTGTATTCTCTATCCCCGTAAAAGAAATAATAATAGTTTTTTTAAAGGAAGCGACTTCAGGGATTTTACTTAAATAAACATTTTATGTCTCGAAATTTAATGGGAGGAATTATACTCGCTTAGAAATAAAGAAAGAAAAATTCAACATTAGTGTTTTGACAGCATCCCCGTCTTTTTACAACAAGCGCGTAACGTGAAATAAGAACTGCTGAAATCTCACCTCTTACGAGCCGAAGAGACAGCCCTCTTCTGCTTGAATGACTGAATCTCTTCTAAATTTAGGATTGCCCATTTATTATAGGACTAGAAACCTGCGTTCTTGGCAAGCCACAGACCCTATGCATGTGTTTCTCTAAGCTCGCTGAGAGCTAACGTAGTTTTCATTTCCTACGAAGTTTGTTTTCAAATGGGTAAGCAACATAACTTTACTTTTGCATTTTAAAAGAAATTTTTCCTTTTTATCGTTATGGGTATAAGAGACAGAACTTGTATGATGCATTTAGAAGTCATTGCCTTGAAAAATTCATACAAGGCTTTCATAATACTGCTATTAATATGTAATAAGATTTTCAAGTGAGCAAAGAATTCCCTTTCTAAATCAAATAGTAAATTTCGTCAAAAAATTGTTTAATTTTATTATTCACTTGTCATATTTAAAGATCGTGAAAAAGGATTCTGTTTACAGCCAGGCTCTATGTAATATTTTTTTTTTTTTTAAATTTCCTCTAAATTTAGCATTTACTCAAGAGGCAAATATTAGCTCTCAAAATGTGCTTTCGCAGAGAATTGGTCGATTAAGTAGCAAGAAAAATTAAAAAAATGATTGCGCTTTTTATACTTTTATGATAATTGAATGCTTCCAATTAAGACAATATTTTAATCAAGGCTGCATATCTCTCTATAATACTATGATAATAATAACGTTTTCTTAAACTTTACTTATATTTCCTGTATAATATTAAACTTATATACCGCAAATTAGTTAAATATACAGGGTATTAAAATTTACAATAAAACTATTTATACGATAAACTGCTTATGTGATAACACCATTTCCTCTTATATTTTGTTTGTCTTCCTCATCCCATTTTCATTAAGTTCTCCCTTGTGATTGCATTATAGTTACTGTTTGAATCAGTTCTAAAATTTCGAATACTTAGTTCAAAATAATAATTTTTGTTTGGTTTTTGGAGGAAGAATTACTTTTCTTAAAAAATTAAAAATACTTTTCACAACAGTTTGATTTATATTCAGATTTAAATAATACCTTTTTTTGTACAAATTCACACAACAACTTTTTACGCTTATGCATGTTTTAATGATGAATGAAACACATATCACTTTAGAGTAAAGGTTTTTCAGCGTACATCTGAAACCACATTCGCTATTGATAACCAGTGACTTGATCATCATAGGCAAGGCAGTAACTTCTTGAAATTTTTAAAATTTTTATTTAATGAAAGGTTCTGGTCGTTCAGTAGCGTATTATAGATAAAAAGATAGAAGAACCACGAGAATGTAAAATTTATTTTCAATGTAAGCAATCATGTTTTAAGGTATCAAATTTAATTGATCATAAAATGTGTTTGACGCTGACGGAATGCCATAAAATTGTCACTTTAGATGTAACAGCGTCACAGTATGTTAATTTCGTTTCCGTAAATGGTGTATCAAAGGTCTCAGTAACTTATAAAAATATGTATAATATTAATCGATTTGACAAATGTAGTAAAAAACGCCTCTCTAACATGAATTTTTGTATTTATTTTGAGAAATGAGAAATTGATCATTTACAATTATCTGATCAGTGATAGTATATTTGTTGGTAGGTGTCTAGGGTGGTCTAGGGTATGTGTTAAAACTGTTTTACATTTAAGTTCATCGGATTATTTTACTTTATGTAACACATTTCATCAGTAACCGGAGAGATAACGTAAATCTCAAATTTTATTTTCATACCAAATGAAAATGACAAGGTCCATTTTTAAAAAAAAAAATTGTTTTTTATGTGTAAAGTTAACAGGTCCAAATCCAACAGAAAGCTCTCCATGTAAGTCACGAACTTGCTCGTAAAGAATTTGTCGATAATGACCGAACCCATCAGTAGTCATTTAGCAGTTTCATCACCGAGATCGTTAACTAAATCCACCAAAAGAGCGACTGACACTGCATCCGCAGAAGGGGGGGGGAAGGGAGATAACACAACAGCGAAGTCTTACGCGAGAACCGAACCCCTGCGTTCGAATTAGCAGCCAGTCTCTGCTAACTACTGCACCGACAAAGATCTAATAGCACATAAAAAACTTAACTTGTAGTAACTACTGCAGATCCTGCGAATTTTTGCAATGGAATAAGACACAATTTATTTTTGGAAGTCGTTAATAATTCCAAGAAACACACTTTTTGTTGCATTTCTCAATGATTTAACTCCATTTTTATTACGTTTTGCATTAACATTTTAAAAACATTGTTAGTTTTCATTGAATATTCAGATTTTTTTCCTTAAATTTTTAAACACATGGAATCCTGTGCTTTCACTACGATTATCTTATCCCGGCAATAATGTTTATCACCACCTCAAACCTCCCAAAATGTTACAGAAAAGTCCATAAAGAATTGAGTTAGTAAACTGATTCTTCCTTCTCCTGCAACGTCTTCGCCTGAAATGATCACACTTCCCTACTCTCCCATAGGCCTGCCAACATTGCCCTCTAGCTGTCACCGTTCGCATTTTCAGACACAAGTTCTTATCTTGTTTCTTATTGTATGACAGACAAAAATGTCAAGTTTAGCAACGACTTTTTGAGACACCCTGTATAATAGCAAGTCCACCGCTCCGCTTAACGTTCGATAATAATATTTTGAACAACTCGTTTTAAGTATGTAATTTTATGCTCCATTATATTAAATTCCTGGGAATTAATTCTTAAACTAGAGCTGTTAGATTAAAGCTATTTCACATGTTAAACTTGAATTTGAACATGAAGATCAGATAGCAAATTTTTAATAGTAGTTTATTCCTAAAAAGTTTCATATACTGATATTAAACGTTTTAGCTACACAATTCCCAACTTCCTTCTACATGCTACACGATTCCTAGCTATACAATTCCCAACTTCCAGGATTAAATTCATTGCAGCCGTCGTGCACTAGGTATTTTAACTCCTAGATGGCAACACTATCATTAAATTCTTTCATTTTATGACTCAAAGCTCGCACAAGAAAAGCTACGTACTGTTATATTCAAGTTATGTTTTTAAGGTATTTTCTTCCTCTTTACCACCTGCTTTTATGGTGTAACTGGAAACACGGAAGGCTAGCAATTGGAAGGTACGAATTTCGAATCCCAGCAAGAGCACTGCACATTTATTCAGTTTCCTGGCTCTAAAAAATCAAAAGGATTCTACAGCGTCTGAACTAAAATGTGACTAATGATAATTTATCACCACCAGGATTTAAAGAATGGATGCCCGCCTCCCCACTCGTCTTTTAATTGGGCGAGAATGTAAGGTATTTTCTTCCTCCTTACCGCGTACCTTAGTGTTGTATTGGAAGCCCGTTCGACTAGGAGTCAGGAGCTTCGGAATTCAAATTCTGGTGAGAGAACTTCATTGTTCATGTCTCCGTCTTTGAAAATATTAACGACTCCACATACCTAATGCACAAGTAAACGAAAAAAAGGACACAGCTACTTGCTGAATAATAAACTACTGTTATATTCAAAGCGTGAAAACTACCATAAAATATTTCAGTTTACGGAAATTAAATACTCTCCTTCTTCTCAGCCCTCTTTATCTGAAAATGCTTTACATGTTCCCCCATAAGATGTTTTTCTGCTATTTATTGCAACGGCTCTCACGCGATTTACCTTAAACTATTGATGGTCTTCAAACTTCAAACAGGAAGCACTCAAAAGTACAATTTTTCTTTTGTTGTGTCTATACTGTCTTCGGAAAAGCAAATGAAAAAAGAATTGGAAATACATTAGTGCTACCCGTGGAAAATGAAATAAAAATCCTATTTCTCTGCAATTTTTAATGAAAATTTTTCGCAAAAATGAATTTTATTGACCAATCTGAACAAAAATCTAATAAGTTCAACTTATATTTTGTTTTTATTGCTGCACAGGTCAAACTGAGCTTTCACTTGAATAAGTTATGGCGAAAGACATTAGAATATTTAAGACTTGGTTAGAAGTTTCAGGATATTCCACAGGAATTTATAACCAAAATTTCATCAAGTCTATTGAAATATCATCTAATTGTTCCTCTTTCTTTATTGCAATGTGATACGATTTATTATGATTCTGAAGTAGATGCTTAAATGAGCAATGTGTCTCTCAGTTATCTCTGAGAGATATTTTTACAATCGCTCAGCTGAGATATGTGTTAGAAAATGCTTTTTATAAAGTTTTGTCCAAATTAATTTTTTATTTCAGTCCAAAAATTGAATTCATATTCCGTTATAAAATTATTTAGTTTTCAAAACGTTATGTGTTAATTCATTTGACGTGCGATGACAAAATATATAATTTTTAAAGTTACAAATGACTTTTTTCATTAATTTTAATAATATTCAATTTAAAGACTTGAAAGGATGCATTAACATAGTTTAAAGTGGCAAAACTATCTGCTAAAATGGCTACAAATTGTAACCCCATTCCATTATTATAATTTTGGAAGAGAATCGCGTTTACATTCACTTGAAAAAATTCCAGTTTCATCTTTCAGTTCCAAAAATTGACTCCAAAATTTCTTTTTGATATTCATCCCACTTCTGAATGCAAAAACAAGGGTTTTATCATTACTAGATTTATTCATCCTCAATAATTGACTAAAAAATACAATAACAATTGGATTTATTCATCTTAATCATTCTATAACAACTGTAGCTTGAAATTAGCCCTGTGGGTTGAGTAAATTTATAATTTTTACAGCATCATCTGTACATACCTTAATGTATTCCATATTAGTTTTTCCACAAAAGAAAATTAGTGAACACGGCAATGAAATGTTTAATGTGTGGAGCAAGTGGAATTATTTGTGATGCAGCCTTTTTATTTCAGCCCAATAACGATTTTGTTTTATTTTGTACAAATATGTAAACCCAAATTACAAGGCAAATCATGTTTATTCATATATACCAGGGGTCGCCAAACTTCATGACGACAGGAGATGCATAGTAGATTTCATTAATATTCGAGAGCCACAAATCCATATTTGTACAGTTTAAAAAATAATAAGACATGTTTTCAATGGAAAGAAACTTTTGAAGTAAACTAATGAGTATTTTATATTTTATATGCGATTCACGTGGTTACATATAAATGTAAATGAATATTTTTTCCCTCTGCCCTGTATTCAGAAAAGTAAGTCCCAATAAAATATAAATTAGAAATTACTGTATTATG